TTGTAAATAACTGTCATTACATTTGTAAATAACTCAAATGTATCAAATGTAATTGAAATGCAAACTTTTTTACGTAATTGTCATTCCAACTTCATATGTGGTTTTTATAGGGTTAATTTCTTTTAACCCCTTGTTTAAATGTTCAAAAATGAAAAAAAAATGGCTTACATGAAATAGCTTACTGCTTATGTAAAATGGCTTACGATGTACGTAATTGGCCAGTTTATGACCAATTATAACAAGGCCTGAGATTATAATATAAGGATTTAAATTTAAAAAAATTCCACAAAATATTTTATCTTATTTACCATATTACAATTAGTAACCCTCCCTCAAGGCTGACTAGTAGCCCTCCCTCAAGTTTTAACTAATATATATATACTTTTGATCAAAAGGTTTTCTGTGGTATTGAGAGAAATGTAAACTTGTATTGCTAAAATTTGTATTGCTTTGTATTACTTGTATTACTTTGTATTATTGTATTACTTGTATTGCTAAAATTTGAAAAATATGAGTCTAAACTACTTTGTAATTAAAATCATACATATTTTTGCTTTGGTTTTATTACTTAGTATTTACAAAATCTCAATAAATTTGTATTTGTACAAATAAATTTGTGCATTTTTTTGTTATATTAATTTTCAATTTAACTCTATATTAAAAGTGTAAAAATAACTTTTTAAATAGTTTTTTTAAATTAAAAATATTTCTTAATTAAAGATTTTGTACCTTGCCATTACTTTAATCAGTTATGTAATTGAGGATAAGGCTAGGTTCCTTTACCCCCTTCCCCCATCTTTCCCAAAATAAAATTAAAGCCGAACTACTACATTTCTAATAATTTCTCACTAACATTCATTTGAATTAAAATTATGAAAATATTTCATGAAGTTACATAAAGCCTGTGCATTGCTTTAAATTTTAGTTGCATTAATTTTAGAAATGCATTAAATTTTAGAATTTACTTTTTGAGTTTATATTTAAATATAAAAAAAGTTTACAATTTAAAATAAGAGGTCTGGGGCAGAAAAAGTATTACTATGAGTTATCAGAAATCCAAAATATTGAGCAAAAATGAAGAGATATAACTCTTCATTGTTTTAATTGCTATTGAATGAAGCATAACTGAAATAGCATGCCTAGCTTTGTTGATAATTTGAAAAGTCTTCTTAGAAGATCTTAAATCGTTTAACCAAAATTTTGGATTTCTGATAACTTATACTAATATTCGTTCAGTAACTTGAAATTTCTTTTTGAGTTTACATTTAAATTAAACAACTTTTAAAATATTTTTTGTTACCTAAACACAAATCATGTTTAATTATACACCTTTTATCTCAATATCGACAATATTCCATAATACCATTATAATCAACACCACTCCATCATACCATTATAATCAACACCATTCCATAATCTCATTATAATCTGAAACTAATGTTAGCTTATTCATACTGATATTGTTTATACTATTTTAATAAAACGTAAATTGTTTAAGAACTCAGCTTCCAGCGGGTATGAATATTTTGCAACACTTTAAATATTGTTAATCAAATTTGCCAAAAGGAATTACAAAAAAGTTGGATATTCTATACTTTCCTCCAAACATAAGTCAAACACAAAAGTTGATGTCAATAAGCTGAGTATGAATATATTATGGGTTAAACAAAACAACCATGGATTATTGGAGGATTTCTAGTTTTTAGAAAATATTAAAAAAAATTTGAAAAATCCTAAGAAAAAATGTTTAATTTGGTGAAGAATTCCAAAAGAAATTCAAAACAAAATTTGAAAAATCAAATTCAATTTGCAAATTTCTTAAAACATATTTTTTGGATAGGAATTCTAGAACTAAAAGATTTTATTTTAAGTGACAAGTTAAGATCTGATAAAATCAAACTTGAAGACCTTGAATTCTTAGATGATTAAGATGGCCCACTAATTTATCATTCAGGTCCTTTAGACACTAAATATAATGAGAAAGTAATAATGCTTTTATTTATGCCAGTCAGAGTCTGCCCAGTGTAAATTCACTTTGAGAAATTAAATGTTTTATAAATTTATTTTATAAGTTTTGTGTCTTATTTCAATTAAGTGTTGATTCCAGCAGTCACTGGATGTACTATTGGATTACTTTATTGTCAAATTATATAGAGTGAAACATTAGGATATTAATTTAGCAAAATTTTCAATTTTACTTTAAACTATTTATTTTATTTTACACTATGCTGATTATCACCAATACATTTGATTTTTAATTAAGATTTTTAATTTTTTATATTTCAAAGATTTATGTGTATCTTTTCTCTTGCTTTTCTGCTTTTCATGCTAATCTACAATTTATATTCAAAAATGAAATAAATTTATTTTTAAATAAGTAAAATCAGTGAAAATAAAATAGAAATAAAATAAAAAATGTTTTTCTGAGTAAAATCATACAATGTTATGCAAAAAAATGAAAAACAATGACAAGTCAGCATTAACAACTAAGTTCAGATATTTTTTCGATTCTGATTTTTAAAAAGAAAAACAAAAAAATAAACCAAGGAGTACAGCAATTCAATCCAATATTTATAAAGATATATATTCAAGTAATATCGCTTCAATGGCATATTTAATGTTATAATTTATCTATCGAAATCAGGAGTTGTCAAAATTGAAAAACTTGGTGCAGTTCACCATTCACAATTTCTTAGTTCAGCATTTTGTTATACTAAGTTACCGCTTCTATCCAAAAAACTAGACTTTTTAATAAATGATGAAAAAGTGAAAACTAAAGTTAAACAAATTGTTGAGTTTGTTGTTTTTATGGATTATGGTACCTGCAAAACTACAATCCTATTAAAGCATTTTATCTTGATGTTACAGCTTTACATCAAGTGACTTTTTATGAAGATGTTTGCCCAGTAAAAGAAGCTGTAGAGAAAGTATGAAAAGGGGGTAAAGATCCTAACATCATCTTCAAGTATATAAATGATAAAAGTAACAAGAAAATTGTTAAATTTTTAACCATAAACCTTTTTTTAATTTTCCAGAGAAAATCTCAGATACATTTATATTCCAAAAGATTTTTCACTATAACATTGCACATGAATTTCGCAAATTAATATTGATTTTTAAAAAAAATAGCATGAAGGCCAAAGCAAAAATTTATTTGCAAGGTTTAGACTGCTTTTTTCAAATTTCAGCAATACAGGTTTACATATGACTTTTCCCTCAATGTCATGGACCAAATATTTGATCAAAAAGGGTCTAGACTGATCAAAAACTGCCAGGTAAGTTTTAAAAACTGTTTTCTGCATATTTGCACGAAATTTAGCAAGATAAGTATTATATTTGTTTCAAAATTTAATACTTATTTTTGAAACAAATATTATAAATTATTATAATATTTGTTTCAAAAATTTCCTCAAACCATTATATACTTAATAGATACCAAAGAAGTTCTTTTTTATCTAAGTATATAAAAATTACAAAGATAAAAATAAAAACATTTTTTAATAAAATTATATATTTAAACAACATTTATCTCTTTGAATACTTCTATATAAAAAAACAAAACAAGTAGACTAGTTTGGAAATAATTTATGCAATAATTATATACAAATATGCAATGTACTGAAAACAAAACTCACCATTAACGTTTACTGAAATAGAAGATTTAAGAAGATTCTCCATTGGAAACTGATCAGTAGGTAAATCAGAAGAATCTAAATTCCATGACTTTAAAAAATCTTCAACAGTTGTATCTTTTACCTTTATTAAAACTTTAGCAATAGGGCTATCTGGAAATTAAAAAATTTGAAATTTTATAATGTTAAATTTTAATGTATACGTGTGTGTGTATACATATATATATATATATATATATATATATATATATATATATATATATATATATATATATATATGTATATATATATATATATATATATATATATATATACATATATATATATATACATATATATATATATATATATATATATATATATATATATATATATATATATATATATATATATATATATATATATATATATACATCTATATATATATATATATACACATATATATATATATTTATATATATATATATATATATATATATATATACACATATATATATATGTATATGTGTATACATATATATACATATATATATATATATACATATATATATATATATATATACATATATATATATATACATATATATATATATATATATACATATATATATATATACATATATATATATATATATATATATATACATATATATATATATACATATATATATATATATATATATATATATATTGCTTGCTCTTAGTGAAACTAACTTAAATTCTGCTACTTCTTCTTCAGATCTCAGTGTTGATAGGTACTATTCTTTGATTTGCAAAGACTCTAATAATCACATGATTGGCTTATACATAGGCATCAATTTACCTATTTGTCATGAAAACAAGTTCGAATCATTTGACCATTCTTTTATGTGCTTCTACTTAGCACCTCTTCACTCTATCACACTTTTTCTCAAGATTGAACTCTTTTATATGTAATTTTTGATAAAATTGACCATCCTCTTTCTCCTAACCCTGCTGCCAATATTGTTGTTATTGATTATTTTAATATTCATCACACTGAATGATTGGCTCTCACAACACTGACCCTGGTCAGTGGTGTGAGAATTAAATAAAGTGAATCTTTTATTCAGATAATTAACTTTGTGACTCTTTTTCCAGACAACCATAATCTTTTACCTTCACTGCTTGATTTGCGTCTTGTCTCTGACACTAGCTTGTGCTCAGTTTCTCTTTATTCTCCTTTAGGTAGTTAATTATGCAATGATTTTTATAAATCTTTCAACTCGTACTTCTTCTTCAAACCTTATCATTGCACTACTTACTACTACCCTAAAGCTGAATAGGATTCTTTTGTTATATTACAGTCCTTGGGCGGATGGCTTTTTTCTCTCAGCTGATAAATGCGCCTACATAACTTGCTAGATTCAAGCAGGAATGGAAGTTTTTATATCTTTTCATAGGTTCCAAGTCAAACCTCATTAGTCTTCTTTCTGCTGTTAGCAAGGTCTTTGAGTCTTTGATCAATAAATTTCTCACATCCCATCTTGAGTCAAATAACTTACAATAAGACAATCAATATTTTTTGATCCTCTTGCTCTATGGCTGACTTGCTGTCACTGCTATGATTAAAGGATTTTAACCTGTATTAGATGGAAGCAAAGAGGCTAGGGCTATTGCTCTTAATTTATCTAAAGCTTTTGACAAAGTTTAGCATGCTGGTCTTTTCCATAAGCTTGCTTTAAATGGTATATATGCATTTGTTTTATCTACCATGCTTGAGCCTCTCTATCATCTTTGTAAAGTTACATCTCTTTCTCTTTTCAACAAATGCTATTATGGTCGCTGCTCAAAGTAGGTATCATCTCTAGTTCCATCAACTAACTTAACCTTTTGCAACTCTCTCCCATCTTCATGTTTTCCTTATACAACTTATACAACTTTAAACTTTTTAAGTCGTCTGTCAACTGTTTCTTTGCTATATAACTAACTTCTTTTTTTTTTCATGCAACTTCCAACTTAATATTGTTTGCTTGCAACTTATTTTTGGGAGTGAATCAGAATATATATGTATATATATATATATATATATATATATATATATATGTATATATATATATATATATATATATATATATATATATATATATATATATATATATATATATATATATATATTATATTATATTAATTAATTAAAAAAAATATTATTTAAAGTTTGAATTAAATTTAAAAAAATTAAAAGTACAACTAATTAAAACAAAAATAAAAAAATATATAGAAAAAAAAAAAAAAAATACCTGCTAATTTACATTCTATACTGGTTTCTATGTTATTCAATTGACCTTCTAATAAAAAATTAATTTTTTTACTAGCAGGTTTATTAGAATTAGCTTCATTTCTTTTGCCTGTTGTAGAGGTTGTTGTTTTTTTTCTAGGAATATCTAATTGAAGATTTACTTTTGTTAATTGTATCATTGACTGCGTATGTGAGTAATCTCCATTATAGCTGGCCTTAATTGACACATAATCATCATTTATCTCGAACGATTCCAATAGAAATTTATTACTTTGAACAAAACCTAAAAAGCAAGAGAAAACAAAATGTTAACAAAAAATGACAAATACATAAATAAACACACTTTGATAAGCATTTAGTCAACTTATATGTGATTTAATTTTTTAAGTGTTAACTTAATAATACACAAAAACTGATTAACTAATACTCTATAGTACTTTTACACTGTGTACAATTGTTTTAAGTGTACAATTGTTTAAAGTGTACAATTGTTTCAAGTGTACAATTGTTTTAAGTGTACAATTGCTTTAACTGTACAATTGTTTCAAGTGTACAATTTTTTCAAGTGTATAATTGTTTCAAGTGTACAATTGTTTTAAGTGTATAATTGTTTTGATATCAAAAACAACAATAATCAATGCAAACTTATATTATAATACATTAAAACACATTGATAGTTTATTTGACAAAAATTATTTGGCTTTGTTATGATAACAACTTTTATTTTAATTTGTTTGACCTAAAGTGTTCTAAAACCTTTAATTAAAATCTTGGTGAAAACATTCCTTCGAACTTTTCAATAAAACTTGAAAACGTATATTTTTTAGAAAATATCTCTCTTAACAATCTGGCAATCAAAAAATAATCAAATCTTAACAACACTAAAGTTGCTATTTTTACAAGCAAAATATTTAGAATAGATTTAAGTTTGTTTATGTTACTTTCGAGTTGAACAAATTTCTAAACTTCATATTTATCAATAATTTTAATAAATCTAAAATTTCTAGTAACTTAAGATTGGAACTGTTTATTTTTTAATTTGTGATTGGAGTGACACTGCTATTTAATATGCAGTAGTGATGTAGTGGTAGAGAGGTCGCCTCATAAGCGAGAAGTTCAGACTTTGATCCACACCACGTCCCTGGTAGTATGGCGCTCAACTTGTTTCTCCACGCACCATCCTGTTCATCAAAGTTTGTGTTTTGGAGTTATAGAGTTGAGAGAGGATTGTAACCACAAATAAAATAGCCTCCTGGACTGTAGTGGCCTTGGGGAGTTGAATTTAAATTAAAAAACAATAAATGTCTTAGGTATGTTTTAGGTATGTAGGTAGGTGTATTACGTATTATTCTTTGTTCTCTATACTTTCAAATTTTCTTAAACAAACCAATAACACCCTTTTTATACTTATAAGTGAAAATAAAACATAACTTGAAATCAAATACTTTAAATATTAGAACTTGATTCTAACATTATATTTCATGATTGAATAATGATGTGTAAAAAATAAAGGTAATTAATCCTTCATAATAATTCCACTCTTATCTCCATCTCTATTGTTTAATCACATTAGTTTAATCTCTTTGGGTTTTTTTGTTTAAACAAATTCACTCCCAACAAGGCTGCTAACAAACACTATTCAAGTTAAGAATTAACTGAAAATATTTAGATGGGTAAGGAAGTAATTAGCAGAAAACTTTTAAAACTGTATAATGCGTGTGTCAGGAAAACATGAACACAGGAGTAATATTTGTTTGTAAGTAATTAATGTTTGTGTAATGAAAACATTTAAATTGACACAATTGCTCAATGACATCTCACACAAGATTAAGTCAAGATTAATTTTGATTGATTTTGCTTTAGGTGATGAGTATGCTCATGATGATTAGGTGATGAGTATGCTCATGGTTTTAGGTCATGAGTTGCTTTTAGATGATGAGTATGCTTGCTTGAGTGGCAAGCATAGTAGCATTTATAGAAAAGAAAGATGCAACCTGACAACAATGGGACGAGGTTATTATTTGGAGTCAGTCCAATAATATTTAAAAATTATTTATAAAACTTGTCTAAATAAGAAAGGACCTCAATAAAAGAACCATACAAAATAAATTCTTTTATTTATTTTTGTATGGAGTATTGATAACTCAATACTCCATACAAAAATAAATAAAAGAATTTTTTTAAACTTACAAAAAATTTTTTACTTTTACTCTTTTAATCAACTTTAAATTTTACATAAGCTAAAAACTTTTATGACATTGTGTGATACATTTGTATACACGCACAATAATATACCACACAAATTTTTTTTGCATGATAATACAAGAATATAAACAAAGAAAAAACAAACAGTTTGTTTATATAAAAAAAGTAGAAACATAAAATAGTATAACACTATAGTATAAATCCTAGTGTATTCAAAAGAATCTTCAAAAAAATAAATAATCACCTATTTAAAATCAGAATCACATTCAAAAGAATTCTTTTGGAAATCTTCAAAAGATTGCTTCCCAATTCCTTCCTAACCTTTCCAATTCAAATTAAAACTTGATTTAGAATTGAGAAGGTTGGAAAAACAAGTATTATGATTGAGTATAAGTGATTCCATAATTGCATAGAAATCATGATCCTCAGGAATCCTCAGAGAACCCCCGATCCTCAGGGATTATGATTGCGGGAGATTCTCATGTTAAAAATATTAGCAACTAAAGACAAATTTTTATATTCAGTAAAAATATTTAATGCTTTGGCTCCACATAGAATTCAAGGGGGAGAGGAAGTGGCTTTAGAGCTTTTCTTTTAGCTTGCTTACTCTGACAAAGAAATACTGCAAAATAAAGTCACTCAGATAAATTATTTTTCTAAAATTTTGAAACTAAACCAATTTAAAGTTGAACAAAACTTTAAATTATTCAAATCAAGTATTAAAAGTTTAACACTTTGTTCTTAAGAAATAATTTTTACCTGAAGAAAGAAGCTCAATATCAAAGTTTCCAAAGAATTTGTTGATAACTACACCAATATTAATTTTATCTACGCAAGAATCTCCAGCTGTTATAGAATAAATTGGATCATTACCAGAAACATCAACATCACAATTTTCATAAAGTTGAACTGTAGCTCTTTTATTATCGATCGCATCTTTAACTTTTATTACAAAATCTTTAATTCTTTCAAACTCATCTAAAAGCAAAATTTCAATAATAAAAAAACTACATAACATAGTTAAACTTAAAAAGATACAAAACTTAATACCAAATAAAATAGTAAAATGCAAAAAGTGTAAGAAACCACTAAAACACAAAGGAATAAAAAAATTTGACTGAATTTTTTTATCACTATCTTTAAACACTTATTTGTAAACATTTTAATAAAATGATTTCAATCTATCCACAAATCTAACATATAAATACAACTCAACTAATTGATCATCAAATAATCCCCATCAAATACTCACCTCCAGTATTTCATGACAAAAAAGTCATGTCATTTCTCTCTAAACACATTTTTGTTTATTTTTAGTATATTTTTTCTATTTGTTTTATTTTCCTAAACAACCAATTTATGAATTCATTTAATTAAATAAACTCAAACTAATATTTATAAAATTTTAAATAAATATACATAAATAATAATATATTATTACTCTTGAATAATATTTAATAAATTTTTAATGATTTTAGATCATTTTGATGTATTTGATCTTTTATTAAAAAAAAAAAAGCCAGAAGTAAATGATTTACTATCAAAGAACTTACTAAACTTTTGAAGTAAAATAAAAAAATATAACAGCAATCTATATATGGATTTTAAAATTTTACTGTTATATAGGTACTTAGTTAATACCCTTTATGATGTAAATATCTATATAAATAACATATAAGCAATATATATATATATATATATATATATATATATATATATATATATATATATATATATATATATATATATATATATATATATAACAATTTTTTTTTTTTAAATGACTGCTGGCACCCCTTGATTATGTTGTATATAATAAAAAAATCCTGGATTTAAAAAAGTTTTTAATAAAAAATATTTTAAGGGTTTGTTACCAACCCTCGAACATTAAATAGGTCCCTAATGTTATTTAAAAAAAAGTTTTTTAAAAGTATGTCATATTGGGTCTCAAACAAAGAGAGATTATATAAAAATTTCAAAAATATTTATCTTCTATAATTTAATTTTTATTTTAGGTTTTAGTGAACAGAAAAATAAGTTTTTCAACTAAAAACAAAAAATTGGGAATTTGACAAGATTTTTTGTTTATAATTTATTTTATCAATGTTTTTTTATAAAATAAATGCTATTTTTGAAATTTTCATATAATTTTGCTTCGTTTGAGACCCAACATGACATACTTTTGAAAAACTTATTTTTTTTAAATATAACTATTTAATGTTTGAGGGTCGGTAGAAATCCCTTAAAATATTTTTTATTCAAAAATTTTTTAAATCCAGCATTTTTTATTATATACAACATATTCAGGGGTGCCTCAGTCGATGTAGCAGCATTCCACCGCAAGTCAGGCTATTTGTCAGTCAATGTTTGTACTGAAGGCCCCCGGCAGCAGACTATTTCAGTATGATCTTACACTGCTCACCTAAATCAGCAGTATAAGAGATATAAATATCTATATTATTATTATTATTATTATTATTGCTATTATTATTATTATTATTATTATTATTATATATATATATATATATATATATATATATATATATAAATATATATATATATATATATATATATATATATATATATATACATATAAATATATATATATATATATATATATATATATATATATATATATATATATATATATATATATATATATATATATATATATATATATATATATATATATATATATATATATATATATATATATATATATATATTATATTATATTAATGATAACTAAAAATAAAATAATAACATTTTTAACCTTAACTAAAAAATAGATTTTGCCCTGAAATACAAATACAAGCCATAACTTCTACTATGCAAATGTCATGCTGACTGAAATTTTATTACATGTAATTTTTTTGATTATGTAAACTATGACAACTTCAAACTATTATCAGTCAATATTTGTATATAGTAAATTTAATCAACATAATAAAAAAGCATGCAACTAGATTTTTTGGTTAAAGATATTTGTATACTCAATAATTTACAATTCTATTAAAATGAGTTGCCGAATTTTAACTTTTTTAAAATAAGTAAACCTAATGTTTCTTGAGTGGAAAACCAATGATTATTGTACAGTACAATAATCATTGGTTTTCCACACAAACATAATTAACATAAAAATTATATAACTTAATAAAAGATGTAATAAATGGTATGTTACCTTTTATACATCAAATTAAGTTGGTATGATAATATACAAATATTAAATGATACTCAATGTTGTCATAACTTACATGATCAAATAAATTACAGGTCATACTATATAAGGGGTGCAAGAGAAAAACTAGTGATATCACATTTCAACACATTTTTTGTTGATTCCATGTGAAAAAAAGGTTACAAGAGGGAAGGGGAGAGACATTTCATGCTCTAAAGCAGCACAGTTTATTCAATACTTTGATACTTTTTGCCAAAAACTTATTACTATAATATTATATCATATGTATAAGTTTTCTTAACAAGTGAAATTTTTAATGTTTTACTTTAAAAAAATAAAAATCCTTAAAACAATTTTATGTTTCATATAAGTTTTAAAATTAAACCTTAACAGAAAGAAGAAAATTTTTTTTTTCATAACCACTCATTTTCTTATTGAGTTAAATTCCAGGTTAACTCAACTAATGCTTAGCACTATGTTATCTTAGCACTATGTTATTTTACAGAATTTTAGTATTCAAGCTTAAAGTTTCTTTATAAAAATTCAAAAAAATATGTAACAAAATTCTTAAACTTTAATTTTTGCCCCATGCAAAAAAAAGTATATCTTGATATGCATATGAGATACAGTCTGAACTTTTTTTTCAGAGTTCTATCAAAATAAACTCTGTAATACAAACAAAAAACTACAAAGATTTCTCTTTTAAATCTGATTTTCATAAAATATTTTATAATAAAAAACACAAAAATATAATGAATTACAAAAATAAAATAAAAATGTAATATTGAACTCTTGAAAGCAAGATTTACATTAATTGTAATTAACAATCTTAAACAAAAGTAAAAAAGTTTAGTTCTCTGGTTTAAAGCTCCCTAGTTGTCATAAGTTTCTTCCAATGCTTTGGTTCAATGTTTAATCTCAATGATTTTGAATTGTTTTTATATGATAGTTGTTGGAATACTATTTTTAACAACAGATTTGTTGATGGAACCTAACACGTATCATTTCTTGAATGGTTAACATGGATCTTAATCAATCTCTTCAACTGGTCCAATCTATGGATTGTTATCATACAATGTATGTATGGATGTATGATACATCCAACATATAAACACTTTACTTAAGTGTTAAGTCTTAAGAGACTCAGCACTTTTAAACAATCTTATTAATTTAAAAATTAAAAACCAAGGTATGTTCTTATTGTTCATAAATAACTTAAGTTCCTATTTTTGTGTTAAATTTAGGACTCTTATTAGAAGTGAATTTGTGATAGTTAAAAAGTGCATGGTAAAGTTTTTGCAATGTTCTTTCCTAGGTATTTGAATTTCTAGACCCATCATCCTTTTATGAGAACAATATAATCTTATATGAAAGATATCATTTCCATGGAATATTTTCTCAAAATATGCATTTTAGTATATATCATAATATATATTTATATATATTGAAATTATTAGTTTTTGGAATATTTTGAATATTTCGGACGCACTAGATACATTATAAATGTTTTGACGGGAAACGTTAAATCCAATTCGTCAATTAACAACATCTAGTTACTTAGAAATGGATCTGATTCTCTTTTTCAAGCCTCTATTCCAACGTTGAGCATTCTTGACGTTCGAAAACAGGGATTTTAGGGAATATGCAAATTGGGATATATATAGGGATAGGTGTAATTTTGAAATATTAAAGCTTAGATTTTAAATTTTTTTTTTAGCCTTTACATATATCTACAAGTATATTTTCTTATTGATTTTGTTGAATTCAGCGCATATCTTGGGTCTATTTTTACAAATTATGATTTTATTGAGCAGCCCTGGCGCAGTGGTAGCGCACTTGCCTCAGAAACAAAGGATCCTTGGTTCAAATCCCACTTGCTTCAAACCTGGCCACGTCTTGCAACATTGGTTAGGAAGGAAGCGTGAACTTCCAACTAAATGCTCATCCGCGGTGTTTTGTGATAAGACCGTAAAGAATTCTTGGGGCATGTAAATAAAATTTGTAAAAATTGTCACAGTACTTGCTACCTACAGTTTTGTAAATAAATTTTCCTTAACGTAAGACAAAAATTTAGGTATTTACTCTTGAAAATATTTGCCTAGACCTGGTCTTGAAACTCTTATTATTGGGCTTTAACTTAAAACTCTTGGCCTCGGCCTGGTAACTTTCGACCTAGGTGCTGGCCTTGATCTTGTAAGATGCGGCTTTGGCCTTCGCCTTGCTACTTTTAACCTTGGTAATAACTCTGTTGAAAACGCGTCCTTGCTTTAAATTTTGAATGAGTGTAAATGAAAAGTTAGTTTTTTTTTTTAATTTGTTATTTAGGTGCCCAAAGAAGACCTAACAGTCTTGTCACAGAGCACCGCGGTAGTGCATTTAATCAGGAAGTTCACGCCTCCTTCTTTACCGTGATGTGAAATATGTTCAAACCACGTTTTGAACCTGGATCTCCTGCTTATAAAGCAAACGCTCTAGCCACTGTGCCACGGCCGCACAATCAAACCGGTATACCGAGTTACCTTGAATTTTAGCAACGGCAGTTGAACCAGTAACCATCAAATAATATACTTATAATGATTATTTATAGATCTTCCTTTTAATATACAATTATTGGTCTTTAAAGATTTTCTAGATGTACAAAAAATTAATCAAAGATGATTGTTTTTTTTAAGTGTTAAGTTTTGTCGAATTAATATAAAAATTGCGCTTCAAAGCTTGTTTCTTAACTATTACAATGTAATTACTCAATTAATTGAATAATTAACTTCTTTAATAAAGTTGAACCGACAATAAAAAAAATCCATAAAGCAATGTTGCTAAAGTTAAAAAAACTCTACATTCAGTTAGCGGTTAATCAACACTGCTCGGAAGCACTCGATCAACGTTGAATCAACCGTGATGTGCAAAACTGGGTGTATTCGAATCATTTGAACTTTTTTAATGACTTTGTAATGTCTAGTGGTAGTAACTCTAGTTTATATATAAATCAGATAAAGGTTTCACACAATATCTCTTATTACCACAAATAAACCCATGACTTTATTCAATCAAGATTTTTTTCTATTTATTTAACAATTTGGGATTTTCTCCAGTTACTTGTTACATTATATTTTTTCCAATAAACTTTCTCCAAAAAATAAAAACAATTGCATTATTCAATCTGTTCTTTACTTATAAAGAATGTCATTACATTCAGGGGCGTGTCTGGGGATGTCTGCTACTAAAGGTTTTCCAACTTGAATATCTTGTTGGAAAAAAATTTTCTCATTATATAAAACAATTAAAACCAAACTAAAGCTATTATTAAACAGATTATGCACGGTTAGTTGTTTGAAACGGCTGGAAAGAAAATAAAATCCGGAAAAAGAAAATAAAAGCCGAAATATATAATGCTGTAATGCTTTTATAACTGCGATATTGTTTGTCATATTGAAGAAAAAAAATTAATTATTTGGATGGATTTTTACATACGTTTTGATAAAAATTTTTGTCAAGTTTTATTGTTTGACAATCATCTGGAGGCAATACAATTAATAAGACACTGTTTTCGAAATTGACCGCCATGTTGAAACGCTCCCCACTTCTAAATTTTTTGCATTTAATCAGTTAAATGCAGTAGTAAACATAATTTAAGTTGTCGAAAAATTTGACTAAGTACTAAGTATGCATACTTTTAAAACTTATAATTTTTCTCTGTTTATTTCGTAAGTTTTATTAAAATCAGCTAATATGGTAATCAAAACAAACTATTTACGGCTGCTTTCCAGATATAACTATCACTTTCCAACAGGGCGTAAGATTTCAAATTATGTAATTGTGCAGCTTGTTTGATAAATAAAGGTATCTAATCAATTTCTTTAACGCCTATAACACTGTCAGTACGTGAAAAAACTCGAGAATACATCTGGCTAAACTTCGATTCTGATCTTGAAGTCTGTCCTTAAGTAGTTTGTTCCAACTGCAGAAGAAACTTATATAGTCTAAACAAAGGAGAGACTGCATATCTTTTCAAATGATTAGAAATGCTGACCTCAACCTAAAAAGTTGAGGTCAGCAAATTATTGCCGACCTCATTTTTCCTAATTCTGAGGGTTGATATATATATATATATATATATATATATATATATATATATATATATATATATATATATATATATATATATATATATATATATATATATATATATATATGTATATATATATATATATATATATATATATATATATATATATATATATGCTACAAGAAAGAGGGAATTTTGAGGGAATTAATCATATAAACTAGATATTCTTTATTGAAATAAATAATGAATAAATCCATCAATTTCCTTTGAGAAGCAGATATTTTAGACCTAGGCCGTAAACAACTTTTTTTGATGTTTAAGCTAAACAACTTTGGAACATGAAGAAAACTCCATATTAAAGTATTTTCATATATATGTGGAATGAGGATGCTATGTAAAAATTGCTTACATATATAAACATACTTTAATATGCAGTTTTCTTCATGTTCAAAAGTTTATCTAGTTGTTGTTATCTAGTTTTCTTCATGTTCTAAAGTTGCTTCGCTTATCAAACATCAAAAAAACCTTGTCTACGGCCTTTTAGACATGCTAAAACTTCTTCATTTCTAAGCTTTCTTTATGTATTTAATGAAATCTTAGAAAAACTAAACAAGCAACAAGTTAAATGTAAATCTAAACTTTTTTAAATGTGAATCTACTTTTAAATCTATTTCTGTTCGCAAATTTTACAAAATCCAATAAAAATTCTGAAAACGAATTAACTTTTTCAAACATTTCTCACATTTTTCAAACTTAAATGATAGTTTTATCACTGATAACGTATATAAAGTATATTTAACAACTTTTTCTGTTTTATCCTAAAAAAACTGCTTTGTAGAGCCATACCAGAGAAACGCGTCTTTAGTGACTTTTCTAACATTTCTGATGCTAAACCTTCATTAACTCTGTGACTGAAAGTGAAATATCTAATTTCATCAAAAACACGCTTAAAATGAGATTAAATTTGTTTCTCTTACTTATTTTCTTTTATTACTTATCTACATTTCTTCTTAAACTTATCTCACTCAATATTATCTTAGCTTCTTTCTACTAATATTATTAACTTATTTAAGAAACATTCTTTTAAAAAGTCTTTTTACTGGATTTCACTAATTACCAAATAATCATTTTTCCGCTTGCTCACAAATACTATCCCTTTTATTTACCTTGAAATTTTATCTTAAGATATATTGTATTTATATCTGAAGAAAAAAAAATAGTTTCTTAAATTAATTAACCAAAATAAAAAAACCAAAATTAACTTTAAAATATTTCATAACCTCCCTTCCTTTTAATATAAGTAAACATTTTGAAAAGCGTTGCATTACAGGCTCAATGCTTTCTTGGAAAAACTGAGGTGTCATTACAGATACCGGTTTAAAGTTGAAGCTAATCACTACACAACTCACATTTAGTCTTAGTCCTTTTAATCCGTCCACAACCTTTTTAATTACTACACACCCTCAATACTCAACCCTCTCCTTTAAACTCTCATAAAATTCGCTGAAGTTGTTAAAAAAGCTCTTGATAATAAAATATTTTAGAAGACGTATATTTGTTGATTTAAAGGAAGTTTTGATAAAGAAGATCACTCTATTCTACTAGAAAATTAAAACATTATAAAACCAGAAGTATGCCTTATAAATAGTTTACAATATACCACCACAGCTGAACACAACTTTACCTTTAAAATTTACCTTTTATTTTAATATTCAAATGGTTTCCTATAATGTTCAGAAACAGAATCACTCCTTTTTTTTTCTTAATTGCTTTTTCTTATTATTATTATTGACTTTAATTGAATTTAAAGAAATCAAATTCAGCTTTATTTGAACTAAGAGAATGTTTGTTAAACTAGCGGTTTAGCTAAATATTTAGTCCTTGGAGCAAGTAAAATTCTCAAAGTTTTTTTTTTTTTCGCTTTTCACGACAAAGTAATTAATAGCAGTTATGGGTAGCTCGTGATGCGAGTTATTAGTTAATACTATATTAGCTATTATTATTAGTTATTATAATGCGTGTTATTAATTAATAGTTATTAGTAAATAAAACATTTCTAACAATTTAACTTGATATATAAACTTAAATATACATAATACAAACTTATATGTAGGGAAGACCGGGGCAAGATGGCCATGATACCAATTTTTGTTGCTTAATAATTTATTTTCAAGGATACTAAAATTAATTTTACAACAACATGTTTGCTAAAAAAAATTAAATTAAAAATAAATAAATAAAAGGTATTTTAAAGAGAAAAACATTATCAGTAAATAAATTTGAGATCCGTATTTCTTTTAAGTATTGATTCATAAAACCTTGTCTTTTTTGTATTGACTTTCCTTTTGAATAAAGTATAAAAGCAAAAGGAAAAAAAAAGGAAAGCAAAGGATATGGCTAAGGACAAGTCAAAAATCATTTTAAGTTTATATATTTTAAACATTTGGAAAAAAAAAATCAAAACCTTACCAAACAAATTTAGTTCTGAATCGCGCTGTGATAACTGTTGGGAGCTTTCAGAATTTAGAATTTCGTTGATCGGAATAAACGTACCACTAACACGTGCGTAATCTAGATTGTCTATGATATCGATATAGGCTTCATTGTACCCCACACAAAAGATTAAAAATATAAAGCTTCCAATCATTTCAACTAAAAGATAAAAATAAAAAAAAATATATATATATATAATCGTAAGAAAAAAAGATGTGATGAAGTTTCTACAAAGAACGACAAATCACATAGATTACAAAATATACCATTAAAAAGATTAAAAATATAAGAATCAAAAATTTTATCAGAAAACTCTCTTACCTTATTGGAGTACCATCGATTGAACAAGTGGTTATAGCACTTGAGGTAGAAATCTGCAGTAAAATGATTATGGTTATAATGGCATTACACTGATTAAATGATTTTATGATTGTTGAAAACAATTTAAAATGTAAACTTTCAGAAAAAAAAAAATAAAATACCTAGAAACTTTATTGACTTAGCAGGTTATAATAATGTACAACCGTTAGGGTTGACAACACACAAACATCTTAAAAGATAAACAAAGCTCAATAAGTTGCGTTCAGAATTTTAAGTTAAAATTTTTTTTTTTACATTAAAAAAAAAAAATAGTAACAAACTAATGAACTAACTAATGTTATTTATAAAAATTATTTATTTTTTAGCAGAATAACACGTCCTACAATAAACAGCTCTAAATAATTTCTTCAACTTCTAAGTTTGCAACTATCGAGGCATCTCCCTCCCATCCATCCTCCCTGTGAATTGTCTGATGCAAGTTAGCTGTATAAAACATTTTCTTCTATAATTCGATTGTTTTGATCATGAGTGGTTGAAATAAATAATACTTTATTATTTTAATAATTACTTAGAGTAGTAAGAGATTGCCGGTTCTGGGACATTTTCATTTTCAACCATATTTTCAACCATAAATTAATATTAATATAGGGTTCAATGTTAACCATATTGTATATAATTTATTTCAACAAGAAATAATTTTTTATTTTAAAAAATCAATTTTTTAAAATAAGTGTTAATTTTTATTTCTTGTTATGAAATATTACGAAAAATTCTTGCATGACGTCATAGGTCACGTGACTTTTTCTAATAATAAATATTATCTGGTGTTTTTAACTTTTCTTCTTCTAATCTTTCCTTTTCTAACTTTTCATATTGTAATTTAAATTTATTTTGTAAATAACGAGCTAAACTTAATCTTCTTTTATAACTTCCTAATTTAATATCTACATCTTTACTTGCACAATCCATTTTTTATAAATTATGTAAAGAAATTTATTTTCAATTTTTTTCTTGCTTCTTATTTTCTTTATACCCTAATTCATGTAAATATTTTACTACTTCAAAGTGACCATTCATTGCAGCGCAATTAATCGCACATTTGTCACATTTATACCCTAATTCATGTAAATATTTTACTACTTCAAAGTGACCATTCATTGCAGCGCAATTAATCGCACATTTGTCACATTTATACCCTAATTCATATAAATATTTAACTATTTCAAGGTGACCATTTTCTGCAGCATAATAAATTGCCCATTCAGTACCTTTATACCCTAATTCATGTAAATATTTTACTACTTCAAGGTCATCATTTCCTGCAGCATAATTAATTGCCCATTCAGTACCTTTATACCCTAATTCATGTAAATATTTTAATATTTCAAGGTGACCATTTCCTGCAGCATAATCAATTGCAACATGAAAGTATTCATACCCTTTTTCAATTAAATATTTTAATATTTCAAGGTGACCATTCATTGCAACGTATTCAATTGCTTTTTCTGTTCCTCTATACCCTAATTCATATAAATATTTTACTACTTCAAGGTGTCCATTTTCTGCAGCATAATTAATTGCCAATTTGTCACATTTATACCCTAATTCATGTAAATATTTTAATATTTCAAGACGACCAATTTCTGCAGCGAAATCAATTGAATCTTCTGCTCCGCTATACCCTTTTTCAATTAAATACTTTAAAACTTCAAGGTGATCTTTTTGTACAGCATAATAAATTGCAAATTCTGTACCTCTATACCCTAATTCATGTAAATATTTTACTACTTCAAGATGACCATTTATTACAGCACAATGAATTGCAAATTCTGTACCTCTATACCCCATCGAATATAAATATTTTTGTACATCTTTTGTACCCTTTTCACCTAATTGATTTAATAATTTAATAAGATCATTTCTGCCTATTTCAGCAGCAAAATCAACCTTATTACCTTGTTTATACCCATTGTTTTTTAATATTGTAGTAATATAATATATTTGAGATGAAGGTTTTATTAAAAATTTATTATTCTCAATATTATTTTCCATTCTTTTTATATATAAAAGAAAATTATTTATATCATTTTCAATTTTTTTTATTTTTTTTTAAAAAAATAAAAAGATTATTAATTCTATAGTCTAATTATCAAATACAACTTCATCTTCATCATCTTCATTATCATATTCAGTAGTTTCTGTAATTTCAGTAACTTCAGTAGTAACTGTAGTAACTTCTTCTTCATCTTCATCATCTTCATCATCTTCTTCATCTTCATTATCTTCATCATCTTCTTCAGTCATTTCAATATCATATTCAGTAGTTTCTGTAATTTCAGTAACTTCAGTAGTAGTAACTGTAGTAACTTCAGAATCTTCAGTCATTTCAATATCATGAATATCATTAATATTTAATTTTTCTTCTATTAATCTTAATCTTTGTTCTATTGATTTTAAAAATGAATTTTGCATTTCGTTTTCCATTCTTTTTATATATAAAAGAAAATTATTTAATTCATTTTCAATTTTTTTTGATTTAAAATATTTTTACAAATAATAAAAATAAAAATGAATGATGATGAGATTAATGAAATATCTGAATTTCAAAAAGAATTTAAACTTTTTGAAGAAATATTAAAATTTGAATTTGAAGAATCAGATTCTGAAGATGACACTTATTATACATCTGATGAAGCTACTTATTTTACATCTGATGATGAAGATGAAGTTAAAGAAAAACCTATAGTTCCAATTCCTTTAAAAACAGTTCAAATCATGGAACTGCATAAAGATAAGCTGAAATGGATTAATTATGTTCCAACTTATAATGTTATTAATGATGATTATCCTGCTATAGATAATACTTCTTTTAAAAAACATTACAAAAAAAGAAAATTTAGTTTTGAAAAACCATTTAATGTAGATATTAATTTTACTGAAGATGGAAAACCTTCAACAATTCATTTTGTAGAAAAACTACCTATTTTTTGTAAAAATATTTTAAAAGATAATTATTGTCCTTTTGGAAGAAAATGTAAATACAATCATGATATTCCTTATTGTTGTACTGTAAAGGAAAGACTAATATGCACTAAATCTTCATGTCAATATAGACATATTCATATTTGCTATGATTATCCTAAATGTAGGAATAAAGAGTGTGTATTATTTCATCCTAAAAAGTCAGAATTATTAAAATTAAGAAAAGCTAAAACTAAATTATGTAAATATATTCTTGATAAAAAAGAATGTAAAAATATAAATTGCAAATATGCTCATTCTATAAAAGAAATTGAAGAAAATGTAGAAATTTGTCATTATACTCCATGTAAATTAGTAGAGAGTAAATTAAAGAAAAATAAAAAAGGAGAAAAAAAAATAATATATAAAAATGTTAATGATAATAAAAAGTGTAATTTTTTACATCAAGGTGAAAGCATTTTAAATTATATTGCTAGAACTTTAAAAACAAAATAGATATGAGGATTACAGAGTGATTTAAAAAAATCTTTACATTTATAAAATGTATAATAGTAGAATGTTTTTATTTTATGAAAAGCATGAACAATATAGAATAACTTTTAATATTAATTCAGATTTAGAACATAGAGCAATAAATGATAGACATATTAAAGTATTCGCACAAGAAGATTTTACAGTAAAATCAAATTCATATGAAAACATTTCTTTAATGTGTGGAGTTGAAATAGATAAAGGACATGTAATGATTTCACTTGCAGAAAATTATCAACCATCACTAAATTTACTAAATTCTGTTGTAATAGAGTCTACTGATGATATTAAAATAACTTTATATAATTACGATAAAAAAGATATAAACATAAAAAAAGGAGATTTGTTATGTTGTATATCAACTTATAATGGTGTTTTAAATGCAAATTATATATCACATAGAGATGCTTTAGAACCTGTTAAAGAAGAACAAGTTAGACCACATAATGACTCAGGAACTAAACAGAAAAGTGATAAAGAATCTGTAAAATCTTTATTATCAAGTATAGGAGAAGTAATTAAAGAAACTATATATGATGAAGATAAAACTATATTTGATTTTGGTAAAAAGTGATTTAGCGAAGCATTGATCACAAAAGTGATTTAAAACAAATTTTTCTTTATAGAAAAAAGAAATGCTATGTAATAATGGATATAATAATGAATGTAAGCAGCTTTATCCAGATCTTAACCAGTTTTCAGAAAATCCATCTGCACCACCACAATCTATAGATCAGAGATATCGATTAGATAAGATAAGTGAAATTCAAAATAAAATGGAATGTGAAAGAAATAGAAGAGCTATGCTAAGTAAAAAATATCACAGAGCTGTAAGAATAATTTCAGCAATCGATAATTCATTACTTGCAACTACTATGACACTTGGAGCTGTTGGTATTGGTTTTTTAACAACAATAGTTGGAACACCAGTAGCTGTCGCATGTGAAGGTGCAGCATTAGGTATGGGTGTATTATCATTAATAGGATCACAAGCTATTAAAAAATTAGCAATAAAAGCAGAAAAGCATGAAAAGATTAAAGTACTAGCTGATGCAAAACTAAATACAATAAGTAGTCTTATTTCTAAAGCTATATCAGATCAATATATTGATGATGTAGAATTTAATATGATACTTTCAGAACTTGAAAAGTTTCAAGCTATGACTGAACAAATTAGAACAAAACCCAAAAATAATATAGATGAACAGACTAAAGAGTCACTCATTAATCAAGGTAAAGAGAAAGCAATGAAAGAAGCTATGGAATTGCTAAATATGAGATTTAACAAAAATCAGAATATAGGAGTGATGAATAATACTCTTAAGAATTAAATAAAAAAACATATATTATGTATTATTTGAACATATATTATGTATTATTTGAACATATATTATGTATTACAAACATAATATATGTTGATTTAGATCTTTTTAGGGATCTGAGAATCACAATGTGATTTAAAAAAATTATTGCATATATAAAAATGTTTGCAAAAGCTACAGATATTGAAGCAAGATTAAAAATAGCAAAAGAACTTGCTAGTTTAAAGAAAAGTATATATCAAGATGATGTAAATGAAAAGTTAGGTTATGATGCTTTACAGACTAACTTGGAAAAATTGTACAAACCAATAATTGATAGTCAATCTGGAATAAAAGAAGGTATATCTAAATTAGAAAATAAAGCTGATCAAATAGCAAATACTTTTTCAAATTATCCTGCTTTACTAGATTCTGAAACTAAATCAATCATGCCACCTGAAGTTGTAGATAAAATGTCATTAGGACCTATCGCAGCAGAATATCTAAAGTTATATACTGCTAAAAATAGTAAAAAAGTATCAGATGATATATTTGGTATACATTACAATGAAGGTGATAAAAAATTTTACATTGGTAAAAAACCAATAACTATTGAAGGTAATGATATAACTACTGAAGGTAAAAAATACAATGGTACACCCGGTCTTTGGGAAATCATAGTAAAATCTCATCCTGTTAGATATACTAACGATGATCGTAATAAGTATAAAGAAATTTTAAATCAAACAGATGCAATTCGCTCTGATTTAAATTCAGCTAAACCAAGATCATCTAAAAGTTATAAGTACGCTAATGTAATAAAACCTATTTGGGAAGAGATGATTGGAAAGTCTGGAAAAGGAGTTGTCATTCTTCCTAGTGATCCAAATACACTATTTGATATGCTTAAATTACGCTTAGCTGGTTTACAAGCAGGAAATACTGGAACAAGAAATGAGATTGTTGCTATTTGTGATGAGTTGTTACGACAGGGTCAAATAGACGATGATGAGTATAAAGCATTACAGAAAGCAATAACTTAAAGTTAATTAAAAAAATTATTTTATATATAAAAATGACAATATACTATGATACTCTTATCAATCTTTCAGATAGTCAGAAAGAGAAAATTAAAAAAGCAATTGAATCTGATACTAATGCTATTATAAAACTATCATATGAAGATCTAAATGGTGAACACAAAATAGCTTTAACAGATTCACAAAGAAACAGAATGAAAGCAGCCTATTTAAAAAATAAGGGTATAACACTTTCACTGAGTAGAGCACAACTTAAACATAATGCTAAAGTAGATGGTGGATTTTTACCTATGCTAGGATTAATTGGAAGTCTAATTGCTCAAGCTGCTCCGGTTATAGCAACAGCAGCATTAACAGGAGTAGGTGCAGCTGCTGGACATGCTATAGTTAATAAAATTGCTGGAAATGGTATTATTTATGGAAAAAAGAATGGTTATGGATATAAAATTTGAAAAGTAGGAAAAGGAGTATTTTTAAACCCATGGAATGGTAGTTATAATTATTTAGACGGATATTATTCAAAAAATGGAAATGAATATTCATCAGTAGGTAGAGGTTTGTTATTAGGAGAGAATTCTCCATTTAAGAATATACCATTATTAGGTCTTCTTCTTTAGATCACTTCGTGATCCAGGCTTCGCTAAGTTCTGAAAGAACTAATGCTTTGCTAAATCTTTTTTAAAAAATATATATTTATCGATTCCACAATGAAGTTGGATAATAAAATAAATCTAATCCACTTCTATACTTTCCATTTAATAAATCAGAAGACAAATCTATAACAACAAATCCATGCTTTTTTGACCAAGCTTCATTACAAAACTTTTTAAACTCATCTAATTTCATATCATTTGAAACATGGTCATTATAAATATGATTTACATTTTTAGAATCTTGTTTAAACAAGCATATAAAATTTGCATTTTCTCTTATCGTTCTCCTAGGCAACTCAAAATAATTTTGTGCCAAGTAGAAACAATCTACATTGCTATGT